CCCTGAAGGACGGAACAGCGCCAAAATCGAGCCCAAAAAGTCCTTAACGTCCCTTCTGAAACCCTAGAAAAACAATAGTTTTGGACAAGGTTTTATGGTTTTCGACCAATTTTTATACCACCGTTTGTACAATGAGACATACAACCCTCCTGTTGCTCCTGTTGCTGCTGCTGCTCTTCCTCCCGAGGCTGAAAATGCACCCTCCCGGACAGGGAAAGAGGCTGAAAACGCACCCTCCCGGACAGGGAAACACAGTGGCCCTGAAGGACGGAACAGCGCCAAAATCGAGCCCAAAAAGTCCCTAACGTCCCTTCTGAAACCCTAGAAAAACAATAAAAACAATAGTTTTGGACAAGGTTTTATGGTTTTCGACAATTTTCTATACCACTTTTGTTTTACAATGGTGAGACATACAACCCTCTGTTGCTCCTGTTGCTGCTGCTGCTCTTCCTCCCGAGGCTGATGAAAACGCACCCTCCCGGACAGGGAAACACAGTGGCCCTGAAGGACGGAACAGCGCCAAAATCGAGCCCAAAAAGTCCCTAACGTCCCTTCTGAAACCCTAGAAAAACAATAGTTTTGGACAAGGTTTTATGTTTTCTTTTTTTTTTTTTATGTTTTTCGACCAATTTTTATACCACTGTTTGTACAATGAGACATACAACCCTCCTGTTGCTCCTGTTGCTGCTGCTGCTCTTCCTCCCGAGGCTGAAAATGCACCCTCCCGGACAGGGAAACACAGTGGCCCTGAAGGACGGAACAGCGCCAAAATCGACCCCAAAAAGTCCCTAACGTCCCTTCTGAAACCCTAGAAAAACAATAGTAGTTTTGGACAAGGTTTTATGGTTTTCGACAAATTTTTATACCACTGTTTGTACAATGAGACATACAACCCTCCTGTTTTGGACAAGGTTGTATGGTTTTCGACCAATTTTTTTAATTTTTTTAAAATACCACTGTTTGTACAATGAGACATACAACCCTCCCGTTGCTCCTGTTGCTGCTGCTGCTCTTCCGAGGCTGAAAACGCACCCTCCCGGACAGGGAAACACAGTGGCCCTGAAGGACGGAACAGCGCCAAAATCGAGCCCAAAAAGTTTCTAACGTCCCTTCTGAAACCCTAGAAAAACAATAGTCTTGGACAAGGTTTTATGGTTTTCGACCAATTTTTATACCACTGTTTGTACAATGAGACATACAACCCTCCTGTTGCTCCTGTTGCTGCTGCTGCTCTTCCTCCCGAGGCTGAAAACGCATCCTCCCGGACAGGGAAACACGGTGGCCCTGAAGGACGGAACAGCGCCAAAATCGAGCCCAAAAAGTCCCTAACGTCCCTTCTGAAACCCTAGAAAAACAATAGTTTTGGACAAGGTTGCATGGTTTTCGACCAATTTTTATACCACTGTTTGTACAATGAGACATACAACTCTCCTGTTGCTCCTGTTGCTGCTGCTGCTCTTCCTCCCGAGGCTGAAAACGCATCCTCCCGGACAGGAAAACACAGTGGCCCTGAAGGACGGAACAGCGCCAAAATCGAGCCCAAAAAGTCCCTAACGTCCCTTCTGAAACCCTAGAAAAACAATAGTTTTGGACAAGGTTTTACGGTTTTCGACCAATTTTTATACCACTGTTTGTACAATGAGACATACAACCCTCATGTTGCTCCTGTTGCTGCTGCTGCTGCTCTTCCTCCCGAGGCTGAAAACGCATCCTCCCGGACAGGGAAACACAGTGGCCCTGAAGGACGGAACAGCGCCAAAATCGAGCCCAAAAAGTCCCTAACGTCCCTTCTGAAACCTTAGAAAAACAATAGTTTTGGACAAGGTTGTATGGTTTTCGACCAATTTTTTTATTTTTTATTAATACCACTGTTTGTACAATGAGACATACAACCCTCCTGTTGCTCCTGTTGCTGCTGCTGCTCTTCCTCCCGAGGCTGAAAACGCACCCTCCCGGACAGGGAAACACAGTGGCCCTGAAGGACGGAACAGCGCCAAAATCGAGCCCAAAAAGTCCCTAACGTCCCTTCTGAAACCCTAGAAAAACAATAGTAGTTTTGGACAAGGTTGTATGGTTTTCGACCAATTTTTTTAATTTTTTTAAAATACCACTGTTTGTACAATGAGACATACAAACGTCCCGTTGCTCCTGTTGCTGCTGCTGCTCTTCCTCCCGAGGCTGAAAACGCACCCTCCCGGACAGGGAAACACAGTGGCCCTGAAGGGCGGAACAGCGCCAAAATCGAGCCCAAAAAGTCCCTAACGTCCCTTCTGAAACCCTAGAAAAACAATAGTTTTGAACAAGGTTTTATGGTTTTCGACCAATTTTTATACCACTGTTTGTACAATGAGACATACAACCCTCCTGTTGCTGCTCCTGCTCCTGTGACTCCTTCTGTTTAAAAGGCACCTGCCGGATGGGAAAACACCATGGCAGTAGTAGTAGTAGTAGTAGTAGTAGTAGTAGTAGTAGTAGTAGTAGTAGTAGTAGTCCGAAACAAGAGTCAAAAGTATTATTCCCTGGCACGCTCCCCCTTGCGTCTGCCGGGGTCGGCGGATATTGACTGCTGGCTACTGGCTGGGTGCTGCTGTCTTATTCCCTAACGCGCTCCCCCTTGCGCAGCCGGGGTCGGCGGATATATAATATATGTATATGATATTTACATTTACATTCACATTATTATTTGCATCAACACACACACACACATATATATATATATATCACATGTACACACATACATACATACATACATATATATATATATATATTGAGGGCTTCCCAAAAGGGTAGACCCCAAGACTATTGGTTTCCCTATCAGAAATAATCAAGTTTAGATGATTTTGGGCGTTCCTCAACTCAGGAATCCCTCTTATATCTATGTACATGATACGGGGTATGTCTATAGGTTGATTGGTAGGCAGACAGATAGACACAGAGCCGCCGTATTTTTCTTGGCTGCATGTAGCAATAGAAAGTATTTATCTATATATAGTATATTTGTTTATATTATGTACATAATATAGGATATAATGTATGGTTCGGCAGCTTCTTGTCATCCTTGCCGGCTGCTTCTCCTCCCCATGCACCGCAGGACCTGCACGGTCGCACCGCCGCGCACGTGGCGGCGGCGCAGCGTTTTCCGCTTGTGGCGCAGCAGCTGAGCGGCGGCAGCGGAAAGGACGCCTTTGGGCACTCGGTGCAGAACATCCTGCGGCTACACGCGGAGACGGAAGTGGCCACGGTGGAGGCTCTTTGGGATTAGCTGATTCGCCATGGAACAATTTGCCAGTGGTTGCTCAGTTCTTTTCCTTTTAATGGGGCCCATCACAAAGCTGGTGAGTGGTGGTGATGGTGATGATGCTGATGATGCTGATGGGCGGGCCGGGGCGGGCCGGGTCGGGCCGGGTCGGGCCGGGGGGCTGGGTGGGGCCGGGTGCGGCCAGGTCGGGCTGGGGGCCAAGCATTTTGATTTGGATTTCGGTGTATTGGTTTGCGTGGCTTGTGGAGGGCGAGGTTTGAGGTGAGAACTGAGAGTCTACCCTCTGGTGAACTAACATAGCAATGGAAAATCACCATTTTTAATGGGAAAATCCACTATAAATAGCCATTTTCCATTGCTATGTTAGTTCACCAGAGTCTAGTCACAAAGTTCCACCATGTCTCACCTATTGTATCAAAGTGGGGCAACGTCCAACGGATCGGTCGCTGTGTACAACATTTGATGGTTGACCATGATTTTTTCACCAAACATGGCCATCAATGGGGAGTAAAAAACGCCCAACGTAGCTTCAATTGACTCCCAGGGACCATCAGCACCGGTCCCTCACTAGGCCGAGAACTTTTCCTTCGACTCAGACTTCATCCCCTCCTATGTGGCGGTGAATCGACCTTTGCTAATTAAAGGTGAGGTCCACGCACCACAAAAGTCAAAAACCCCCTGGGGGGCCATCTTGCGCCTTGGGCCGGGAGGGAGTGATAGGTCAAAAAGCTACATGGGTATGGATCAATACCTATTAATACCATTTTTAGGGGAATGAACATCCATTTACCAGCTATTTTGGGGTTCACTAGGTACCAGGGTTTTGACCCATCCCCACATGTCAAATGTGGGTGTCCAAGAAAAGTCGAGGTTCAGTTCCCGGCAGGTGGTGCCATGCATCTGGAAGCCATGAGCTGGTCAGATTATCGACACCTTTTGGCAGATCTGGGCAACGAGGTGGTCCAAGCTGCTCCAGTGCCATACTCGAAGAACATGGGTCTGTCTGGAGGCGGAAATGGGGGCTTGTTCTGGGCAAACCGACCAATTATTCAATCTCAACAGCCAGAATCCATTGGAATATATATATATATATATATATCATATTGGAACTGATTGATACTTTAATAGAATCAATAAGATAAGCCAACTGTTCCTATTCCTCTTCCATTGGACAAATCCAATCGTTTGCACGGGATCGCTTTCCCTCAGAGACTTCCTTGTCAGGTACTGAAGCGCCCCTGGCCCAATTACTTTCGTCTCCAAAGGTGTGGCGAAGTGAAGAGCCGCCTGCAGGGGTCTCTCGTTCCACGGAGTTAATCAAGTCAATTGTGAGTACTCTCTGGTAATTTAACATAGCTATTGAAAATGACCATTTATAGTGGATTTTCCCATTAATCATGGTGATTTTCCATGGTTATGTTAGTTTACCAGAGGGTATGAACCATCTTATTTGGATATATTTGGCTGAACTACCAGAGTTATTCAACAGAAATTGATAGAAATTGCAGATCATGTCGTGACTGCAATGCAACCCATCATGACAACTCCAATCTCAACATCAACATCAGCACTTCAGAACCACATGTCAACTTCATAATCGCTCATGGGACCGATGGGAGCCCCCAAAATCTCCCAAACCCAGGTCCTAGAGCCTTCGGCTTCAGCCCCCTCATACATCTTCGATGCCAGCGTCCTGCGCCGTCGCCGGGACGTGGTGAAACGTGCCACGGTGCTGGGTACGGCCTACATGGAGCGGCACATGTCCCACGTCCGGGTGCCGCAGTTCGGCGTGGGCTTCCGGGGTGCCGGGGCGCCGATGCACACGCACCACGCGGCGCTCAACGCGTCCTTTGCAGGACCGGGGTGTTGATGGAAGATATGGAAGTTCAGTGTGAGTTCAGTAGTGGATGGGCGGATGATAATACATTTTTATATATTTGTCTGCTGGATGCCATTGGAGCATTTGGGGAAGCTGGCAGCTAAGGGAATCTAATATGGCAATGGAATCTCTCTGGTGACAGGAAGACCATCAAGAATTCATCACCCCAACACGACCTTTTTTCAGGTTGGTGACATATGCTGACAGTGACAGATGATACTGGTTGGTGGTTTGGCACATTTTGGCACATTTTTTTAAATTTTTTCCTATATAATTATTGGGAATAACGTGAACAACTGACTAATATTTTTCAGAGGGGTTGAAACCACCAACCAGGATATATTTGAGCCAAATAGACACGGAATGATCTTGTACCATTTGGGGAAGCATTGGGGAAGGTCAACAAAATGCTGAACCATGGAAGATCTCTCATGTTCAACCGGAAAATATGGTCTCAGGAAAGAAGCGCTGGTTCCTCTGTCCACCCGAAGTGGCCTCTTGGAGCCTGGACCCAGTGTCTGGTTGGAGGGAAACGGATCGCTTCAAGAGTCACCTGGCGGAAACGAGGCTGGAGCGGCCGGGTCAAGCTGTGGCAAAAAATGAACAAATTTGGCAGTGGATCAAGAAAGTAGAAACCATCATAAACATCATAAACCATGAATATTTCGTGGAAATTAAATTTTGACCCAAAGAAAGGGCACTTTCGGCCCATGGCCATCCATGGCCCTTTCCACATTTCAGAGACATTCCAGACATTTTTTTTTGGGGTCACTTGATGTGGACTCCATCGGGAACATTTAGGTCAGCGCGACGCGGGGCTTCTTCTGGAATTGGAGCAGGACGGTCAGAAAGATCGACGAGCTGAAGTTTGGTTTTGCCAAATAAAGTAGTCCCCAAACAGAATCAACAGATAGTATATATATATATATATAATATATATATACATTACTTTTTACATTAGAAAAGTAATTAGCTTCCCAAAACTTACCACTATTATATTTTGATGTCACTAATTAGATTGTGCTAAAATCCATTTTCCTGGGGGCCGTAGACATTCAAGAAAAAACACCCTCGGAACCATGTGCTCCGGGGCGCCAATTGCCAACCACGTGAGGTGCACCCGGCATCCAGCATCAGTTTCCATCCCATTCCGGCACTTTGCATTCAATTTGCTATCCTTTTCCATCCCAAATTCATGAATTTTCCATCAATTTTCCCAAATTCATAGGGGTTTTGCTATACCCATTACTGTGGAATCCCATTCATGACTGTGGGATGACCAGGGGCCCCATTCATCCCGGCACCCCATGAATTTCATGGTGGAATCGTCACATTGAACATGAGTCCCTATTGGTCCTCCAAACTATTGCTATATCTATTGCAATATCTATGAATGATCTATTGGTATCTATTATCTAATGGTTTCTATTGATTATAGCTGTTAATGATATCTATTAATTATCTGTTGGTATATATCTATTGGTATCTATTGGTCCCCAGGATTTTCCGTGAATCTTCCATCAACGTGCAGGAGCCTGGCGACTTGCTCTTTGTCCCGGAGGGCTGGGGCCATGTGACGATCCTGGAGAGCTATGCAGCAGCTCGATCAACCACGTGGGGAAAAATCCTCGTTGAAACTGCCGGGCTTTGGATGTCTTTGGTGATCGGATTGAATGTCTGGCAGTTTCAGCTCTTGTCCTATGAGTCCTATGAGTCCTATGGTTTTTCTATTTCACAAGATTTTATTCTGTATTTGGAAGATGGCCCATTGCCAATATTGCCACGACAATAAACCATGTTTTCGCCGATGCCATGTCCAAGGTTGGTGTGGCACAAGAATTTGTGCCTTGGACCAGCATCCATGGCAACTTGGACGACGCGTTTCGGTGGGCGACGCAGAAGATCTGGTGCTTCCACACGCAGTGTTTCGAATTTTCTGGTTGAATGATATTGAATAATGTTGAATAATGTTGAGTAATGTTGAATAATTTTGAATAATGTTGAACAGAGTATATATGAGTATATATATATATTATTATTATTAATAAACATTATTGTTATCATTATTTTTTAAACATTATTGTTATTACTATATATAAACTCTTTGGTTGGTGGTTTCAACTGTGTTTTTCCGCCAGACTTTTCGCCAGAAATGGGATGATCCCCAACGACTGACTTGAGTCACCGAGGATAGCGGCCACGGTGTCTCCGTAAAAAAAAACACATCGCGCGGCAGCAGATCAGTGGAGGATCAGTGGATAGATATAGTGGATAATGATGGTTAATGATGGTGTAATAATGGTGTAATAATGGTTAATAATGGTGTAATAATGGTGTAATAATGGTGTAATAATGGTTAATAATGGTTATAATTAAACCATTATAGTGATATGTTTGTGATAATGGTTAATCTAATGGTGTAATGAAATAGTGGCTAAAACAGTGATTAATGATGGTTATAACTGGTGATTTCTATGGGATTATATGTTTGTGATATATATATATAGTGATATTAGTGATATAGTGATATATTAGATCACCTGGTGATGTTGGTGATATATATATATATAGTCTAGTGATATATAGTGATAATCACCAGGAATAGGAGAGGAACAAGCTGAGATATGTTGGGATCTAACATTAACATCGACCAGAACGGGCATATGATGGTTCTTTTTTCATGGGGATATTACATTGAAGTCCCCGAACCAAATGGTGGGTTTTGTCGGAAAATCATCGAACTAAATCGGAGATTTTCCAGCAAAGCATGTTTGATTGCCAGAGTGAAATGGAGGATCCTCCAAGCGCTGGTTTGTCAAGCTTTCAACGAAAGCTCATGGGCGGAATTCCATTTGATGATATTTGATGGCTTTGCTAACAGCTTTGAATTCCGGCCAGATCTCACTGGTGCTGAAGCCAGAAGCTGGCAAGTCTTTCGGCAAACCAACAAAGATATGGGAGAAATGGAGGCCATTCATGCATTCCAATATGATATATAGCACCCCCCAAAAAGATCGACACGTGATTTATCATGATTTATCACCAAACTTGAGTGGGGTTTACTTTTCACTATAACATGATGTTATATAAATATATATAAATGATGGATCATGATGGGGGGTTACTAGTTACCTATAACATGTTTTTTTTTTTTGTGGTGGTTACTATAACATGATGTATATATCAGGTGTCCCAGTCGATCTCCCGGACTGCCATTGGATTCAATTGGTTCCTGAACCGCGTCGATGTTTAGTGGGGAATTTTCACAGGGAACCCGTCTTTTTGGTTGGTGGTTTTTAGCAATATTTTCAGCATTTTTCAGCTATAGATCTGGGATAATGATCCCCAATGATTGGATGGTAACAATGAACGACAACGGTTTCCCGATACCTGAAATCACTGAAATCTATGATGGACTGCCGCAGGTGGCGTGCTGCGGAAGTGGGAACTCAGGAGGCGACGAGTCGCGATGCCGTTTTTGGTTTCTGCTTGGCTATGCTCGAAAGTATAGCCATCTCCAAAAAGATAGAATACCTATACCCTCTGGTTATTTAACCTAGCTATGGAAATGGCCCATTTACAGATGATTTTCCCATTAAACACCTCCATTTATAATGGATTTTCCATAGCTATGTTAAATAACCAGATGGTACATAATTAAATAATCATGAAAATAGCAGGGGATCACTTTTCTATTTCAATTTTTTTTAGGATTATATGACATATTCAGCCTAAAACGATATGGTTTGAAGACCAAGCAGTGACCAAAATCCATGCCTTCGATGTGAAAAGGAAACCCACACACACTTCTGAATCTTAAATAAAATCCGCTGCATGTTCCAGATTTAGGGAATCCTGCTTTACACTGTCGTCTGTTTGGTCTGCTATTGCTTTGTCTTCGTGCACGTCGGAACGTCCAGCCTGTGCGCCCTACCAATTCGTAAAACAGACGAATGTAAGGGTCAAAAACTAAGTCTCATCAATATATAATGTTCTTTTGGTGAAAATAGAGGGGCCGGTTTGGTATACCATCTATCATCATTTACCTGTTGTTAAAGGGGTAAACAAACCGATTACCGCAGGGTTGCTGTGGAAAATGAGGATATTGTTTTTTGCCGGTGCCGGCACAGAGTTCGTCAATATTCCAAAAAGTTCTGGGAATTGGAGTTTCTTGAAAGCATCAAACGATGTCAGTCTATGGCAGCGCCTCCGGTAGGTGATCGCAGGATGATGATCCACTCTCTTTTTTGGGGAGGGGAACAGAGTTCTCTTAACCAAGACCCCGTAGACTTGAAACTTGAATGACCTCTATTCTGACCGTGCAAGATCTGCTGGTGATCCTGTGGCGTGGATCCAAAATGTACAGTAAAAAAACACATCACCAACATGTCAAGATTAGGAGAATATCCCAAAGAGTTTGCAATACCAAGAGAATGAGAAACATAGATGCCCTTTTCCCATTGGTTGGTTGATTAATAGAGGATCCATCATAGAATGACTTTCCCAGCTATAGACCTCCGTTTAGTTTGGGAATTTCCCAGCCACGTTTGGTGACAGAGGCAGCTCCGACACAAACCTTGGAGTTCCAAGAGGCGCTGGAGCTGGTCATGGCCTCCATTTTGGAGGACGAATCCCCATGTTAAACACCCCCATGGTTCATGGATGTTCATGACAATATGTGTAAATCCCAAACTACTACTAAAACATACACTAGACAACCATGGTTTTCTGGAAGGGCTTTTTTTTGTGACCGGAAGTCCAAAATCGAAACGATACGAGGATGGGCCAAGCCTTGCCAAGGACAGGTGGCCATCCTAGTCCTAGCGACAGAAAGACCACAGCTGTGGATCACCTTGCTCTGGGGGAATCATAGCCGCATAGCCACGAGATGGGGGAAATTGATGGGAAATTGGGGTGTTTTACATCCCCTTTTTACATTTTTTACCCAGTTTCCTCACTGGGCTGTTGGGAGCAGCCCGGTACGTTTTCTGTAGCCATGTCCCATCAACGGGCCGCGTCCTGGTTCTGGAGACTTGCCAATTGCCAACTGGTTGAAAGAGGAATATGGGTACGGATCAAAGCATCTTCGACCATATTTTGGGAGTATATTTAAGCAGCAAACATGGTGATTTGGGGTTGGATCGAAAGATCAAGTGCAACATTTTTTCAATGGGAATTTCAGGATCCTAAAATGGAGGTACTGTACCATATTTTTGGCCATATTTTGCTGGGATATTCCCTTACATAGGCCTAAAAAATAGGCCTTATATATGGTAGGTACCTCCAATTTAGGTTCCTGAAATGGCCATTGATTTTTGGGAGGGATGAATGATACAGATGATTAAACATCCAGCTATTCCCAGCTATTCCCGCAGGCAGTGGCCCAGATTCTGTTTCAGCGATGTGACGCCAGAGGACGGGGATGGCACTTTTAAAGCCAGGTATTAAATGTACCCTCTGGTAAACTAACATAGCTATTGAAAATCACTATTTTTTATGGGAAAACTCACTATAAATGGCAATTTTCAATAGCTATGTTAAATTACCAGAGGGTATCTGGGTGAAAGTCTCATTGGAATTCATGTGGTTATTGATGATGAACTTGATGACTATTGATGGTTATTGATGGCTATTGCTATTGGCTGTTCAACCAAAAATGATGAACATGAGCTTTTGGTTTCCGGTAGTGTGATTTTCTTTGCTTTTCAAGATACAATATAGATCCAAACTGTAATTATGGATTAAGGTTATTGGATCCTCCTTTTTCATCAGATGGAGAAAGATGAGCTGCACTGCTTGGGGACAGGAATGGGTTAGTCGTCGGCTTGTTGACATAGCTTAACTACTTACAATGTCTGGGATGCACATATAAATATTGAAACGCTCCTACAACTTATATCCCATAGAATATGATCATGATATGCATAGTGATATGCAGCAAGTTATGGGGGAAACATATCCCATGCAATGGAGAATATATATATATATCCCACATATCCCAAAACTACCCACGAGATTCGGGGTTTATTTTCGTGCAGGATGCGGCACCCTCTCGTGGAAAGATGGAGAGGTGCGTTTCTCTACCGTTTTTTTTTTTAAGGTGAAGGTGCTTTGGTGAACCAAAAGATGCGGATTTAACATGAGAGAATGATGGATACCCCGGGATTTCGGCTCCAACCGTTCTGGGAGCCATTTATTTGGAGATCACCTGAGATGGTGGGCTGTTGGATCAGTCAGGGAGGGCAAAAAGCAGGCCCACAGCCCCAAAATGGGCCCAAGAACGCTTCGCAAAACCAAAGGAACGTTTCACTAGGTCCATGCATGCCCCGTGCTGTCTTGACAGCCACAAGCAATGCAAAGACATTTGTACAGCCGGCGGCAATGCACAGGACCCTGAGCGCAACCCCCCGGCACCGCCCGACATCAAAGTTGACTTACTTCCGCCTTTGTGAGTGGCAACGCTGATTCCTGGGGAGCGGGGCCAGGTTCGCGTGCGCATATCCACATACATCACGCGGAAGCAGCGTTAAATTCGCAATTCGCTTGGCCGCAAAGCCAGAAAGAATGAGCTCAACAGCTACTAAGGAGGATTTCGCAATTCGTATTGGCTCGGCCGCAAAACTATGCAAAAATACTAAGAACATCTAAGAACATGAAATTAAAAGAAATGGTATCCCATTCTATTTTTCAAATTCGAGGGAAATTCTTATAGTTGTTTTGGGTCCGAGCCATTGTGGTTTGCAACTCATAGTAGAGATTTAACAACATCCCATATGATTTGACCAAGACCTCCTTTTTGATGGGTTAAGCCCCTTATGATATCCCCAAATCAAGTCATGAAAACCCTTCTGAGGTGATGAACTGCCTGCAGCAACTTCTCATGGCGTATCGGATACCTCTTCCTGAGCTGCCCGGGAGTCCGGTTGTGGAGTGAAGGTTGGGTGAAGAGTAGGTGCCGCAACCACTAACCACATATCCTATATATACACATATATTATATGTATCAGTTATGTATAGACATGTGATCTGTACATTTATAGGTGTATCTATCTATGTTCCATCCATCCATGCATCCAGCCATCCATCCCACTGGGTACGCCTGGTGAACCGACTGGTGGAGGATGACGAAGACTATGATTAGCCATGGATAACAAACATGGTGATGAAACACCTGAACTGGAGGCGTGTTTGGAT